TTCAGATAAGATTGCAGCCCAGATTGACATGTTTGCTGTTGCTTTTTTTTTTTTGCAGCAAGGTCTATGTATCCCTGGTGGGCCTCAAACTCAATATGTAGCACAGGCTGGCCTCAAACTCAGAGTTCCTCCTGCCTCTGCCTCCCAAGTGCTGAGACTAATGACATGCACCACCACACCCATGAACCAGGCTGCTAACGTGATGGACACTTAATGACAGATTCCCATGTGGGTACTAAGGCACGCACTCTAAATGACCCCAAAGAAAAGCTAGTATTTCCTGCTGGAAGCCACTACGCTGGGAGGTGGTTTGTTATGTGGCTGCAGATAAATAACTATTATACATTGCTTATCATTTTGAAATCCAAGAGGGAGTCTCGAAGGAGACAGGTATTATTGTTACCATCCTCTCTGCCCACTTTGTGTTGCTACAATGAAAAGACACGGAGCCGATTTGGTTTCTTATTCAGCTTTCCAATTTGTTATTCGGACGGCTGGAGATGGATTCTCCTGATCACTTAATGTTTCTTCATTCTCCTCTTTTTTTCCCCCCTCCTGTCAGCAGTGTTGATATAGTAATAATGGTAACCTTTAGTAACCATGACTGTTACTTTTAAAATAGGCGCCATTACAGTGGTAGACTTCCAGGCATTCTTTTACCCAATCCCTCCCATGACCTTGTGGTTAGACATTATTTCACTTATGTGTCTGAGTTCCAGGCAAGACATCTATTTCTGCTGTACAGCCATTTCCTCACAAAAAAAAGTCCCAGGAAGGCCATGAAACCTACAAGACCTACAGAGCCCTTCCCCTAGAAGACACAAGCAGCAAACAATTGCTGGGAAAGAGGACGCTGTTTTTTCAGAGATGGAATGCAGCTTTTGTGTGTTGTCTTTCCTGCAGAGGTGTGGCTTTTTGCTGATGCAACTGCCCAAGGGTTGCTCACACTTCTGTAAATAATTTTTAATAAACTCATTGGTTACCAAGTTGGACTTGGATGGAATAATTAACACACACATATATATATATATTGGTCTGTTGCTGGTGCCCTACTGGGGATAAATAGACATTTGTTCCTGTGTCCCCAGGAAAAGCCACACAACTTCTAAGCTTCTCTTTCTCATGTATAACATGGAGGTAGTGATGATCACATAGACTGCTTTCAAGATAGGGCCTGTGCTGAAAGCAATCAGCTCTTGTGGGTGGCAAGTGTTTAATGAGTGGGGGAGGGGTGCTCCCTTTTTCTCCTTAGCTTATTGTATTAACATGACTGTTACACCGACAGGGTCATGCCAAGTTTGTCTCCCAGTGAGTGCATCGGGAGCTGATATAACCAAGAACTGAAGAGCCCCGCCTGGGTCTGCCTCAAGATGGATGAGGGGATGGATGCTTTGGGTCTGGAGACTAAAGATGGCTATGCCAGCTCTCATGCAACCTATGAGCCTAAAATTTTTGTCAGCTCTATGCTTGGAGCTGGGGATGCCCTGCCTGAGCTCACACAAAGAAGAAGGACCAGAATCTGCATTTATTCCCCGGGTCAGCATGCATGCAGAGGCTGAGTGTGAGAGATGTCTCCCGCTGGAGGAACCTAGCTGAGAAAATACTGTCTTCGGGCAGTATCAAATCATCTCTCAGATCAGGGAAGAACCTCCAATTAATTACAAGTGCTAAGTGAACGGTCTAGAAGCTGGGCTTTGCAGCCAATTAGTGAGATTTTGAGGGAGGTTTTATTAACCCTCTGCCTCCTGGCAGTTTTTAGTTTAGGGAAAGAAGGGGAGCTTTCAAACTAGAGGTGCTCCAGGACATTGTGGGGAGTGCAGACATCAGAGTACCCTCCAACCAAGGGTGGCACAGAGAGGTTCCTGAATGCCCAGGAGAATAGGTTTGACATTAATATCCCTGCCTGCTCTAGACTTTTTGACTTCAAGAACTTCTGGTCTTGTGGTGAAGTCATTGGTCAAATCCTTTCCAGCTGGGGTACTAGACCTTGCAAAACGCCATTTGTGCTCCCTGTGAGTGACCCAGTGTGAAACACAGACCACCCACTGGACTTCACCCAGGTGCCTCGAGCCCAGAATACCCAAACCCATGACCTTCCTCCAACTTGACCACACCCTGTCCTGCGTTCCATATCCTGGAGAGTTCTACCGTCATGACGGAGACACAGACCCTGGTGCAGATGCCGCCCTCCTGCATGCTCTGCACCCGTGATCCTGTTTTCTTGATTCTGATGCATCCCTTCATTCTGCCTGCTTCATCACACTCTTCCCTCAACCGCAAAGGTCAGGCCAGATCCTCTCCTATCTTGATATTGCACTCTCTTTCCCGGGTTCTGGGTTTCCAGCCTCTTAATCCCAACCCGAAAAGCCATTCCTCTGTATCTCTGCTTAAAGCCACTCTGCTTAAAAAGGCTCTTGGTGGCCTACAGGTAGAACCCTTTATTACTGGGCACCTCATTTGTAGTGTTCAGACTCACCCTCTCAACAATGCTCAGCCAGCTCCTGCAGACATCTCTCTTGCCTTTTTTCCTCTTTCCTGCTTCCTGGATTGGATTGCTGTTGTCCCGACCTCTCCCGTCGGCTTTGCTCTGGGTACCCAGGGTGCCCCCCTTCTCCACCAAGCAGTCTCCTCCACACTTCAGGCTCATTTTAATTGTTGCTTCCTCCAGGAAGCCTTCACCAAAGCCCTACGTTTACTCGAGTGACAGGAGACACTCTCTACCTTTACAAGTGCTGTCCTGGCTAGATTGGGCTGTGTGGCCAGCATTCTTGGTGCCTAGAACAGTGCCGAGTACATAGCAGAAGTTCTGATTTAATGAAGAGATTAAGATGCCCAGGAGACAAACTTTAGAGTTAATAGCAGGAGGGTGGTGGTGCTTTTCTGCCAGGGCACAGGTGCGCTGGTGTCTGCTGTAAGGAGAGGAGAGACAAGAAGCATGGCGAATCTGCACTGAGCTATCACGAAGCCTATCTGGTCTTTGGGGGACAGTGTCTTGTGACTGACAGAATCCACTGTATGATGGACTCCCAGGGAATTCTGAGGTCCACATTCTTTTTCTTTCCCATGGTTCTGGGCCTGAATTTGCCTAGCAGAACTCCCCAGGGAACTCACCCCCTGCCCTTGCTCCTGGAGGTGGGGGTGGGGGGCATCTCCTCTACCTCCTGGGACTCGGCCTGGAATGTGAAAGTATGAGACTCTGGAACTTTCTGAGGAAGGAAGGCTTTGGGCTTAGTCCTGGTAATCTCGCTTTGGTGCAATTTCCTCCCTGTTCGTGTAAGAACTTGTGATTTCTTCTAGCCAATAGCACATGGTGCACCTTTCTGCAATTAGATGATATAAAATTGTGACTTCCATTTTGCTAGCAGACTCACCTGGAATTGTCTCGGCTTGCACACTTGGGTAGAACAAGCTTTATGTTGTGAGCTGCCTCAGTGGAGAGGGCCACAGGGCAAGGGATGGGGGATATTCTCCAGCCAACATCCAGCAACTGCATCTTTCCAGAAATTGTCTGAGCTCAGTAGTGATCCTTGCTCACCTGCCTGAGCCTCCTGATGAGGACCCTAGCCCTGGCTTGCACTTCGCTTGTATCCTTATGCAGATCCGAAAGCACAGAATCCAGCTAATCTTGTGCCCAGACTCCTGACTCACAGACACCAGGAGATAACAATGCTGTCCTTATGGAGACTGTAGTTGTGTGTATGGGGGGGAGATGTGTGCAGTCACACACCTTAAATAGTTCATGGTGCTAGCCAGTGAGTGCTTGGTACTCCACGATAAGGGTGTGCGTGCAAAACACCACTTACTCTCCACAACGGTGGAGGTTAGAATAATTATTATCACCCCGTTTCCCTTGTGAGCAGATGCTCAGTGGGGTTAAGTGTCTCGCTCAAGAACGCTCTGTTGGATGGCTGTGCCTGTCTGTACGCTTTGGGCTTTTATTGCAACACAAAGCTACAGTGCTTTGTGTTCTGTGTGCTTGGTGGCAGACTGCTCTGGTCAAGAGGCAGGCAGCCATCTCCGTCAGCTTTGTGGGGGGGGGAAATGACATCTGAGCTAGATCTTGAGAAGCTTGAGAATTTGTAGAGGGTACAAGGAAGGGGGAGGGCAACCATTCATTCTGGGCAGAGGGGGATTTATGCAAATGTGATATGACATTGGATGGGGGCGGGGCTGAGTGCTCCTGGAGCATTGGAGTGGGTGTGGCTCTGACATAGCAGGTTGGGATCACAGGAGTCAATCACACAGGGACATTTTGACCATCTGGAGGCTGTCCCCAACTGGGGGTGGGGGGTGGGGTAAGATACTGTTCTATAGGCAGGCTGAAGGCGCTGGGCAGGGAGTGACATATTTATGTTTGTATTTTAGATAGACCCTCTAGCAGATGCCAGGGAAGAAGTAAAGCAACCTGAGGAAAGACCCATGCATTACAATGGGAAGTGCTGAGAAGCCAGGAGAAATGTAGCCTCACTTTGGGCTGCGTATGCGATATGACCGATCTGGCCAGAGGCAAGGAAGTGAAAGGGGTCTTACCCTGAGCCCTCAACTCCGTGAGTCTGTGTCCTGTGTCCTATCTGTGTGCCCTCAGCCTCCTTCCTGTAAGCCTCCCAGGCTCAGCAGGGAGCAGATGCCTCATCCATGTTTGCAGAATGAACAACTGATAGACATTTACCCATCTATTGTGTTCATGGTGTTCTTAGGATGCCACACCCCCGAGGATGGAGAGGGGCAGTCTGAGATGGGATGAGAGTGAGGGTCAGCCTGGACAGCACAGGCCCCCCGCCCCCCACCCCCTGGGATTGTGGAGTTGGCCTTGGGAGGTAGACCGATCCTAGAACTTGGGCAGCCATGTGTCTGGCCTCCATTAATCTTTGAGGTAATTTCTACAGTGTCCTGGCTGGAAGCTGGGGTATGGCTGAGGGTGTTTGGGGTATCTCGAGCTGTTGGTTGTCTCCCATCGCCGGCAGTGCTAACAGACAGAAGAAGGCAGACAGATGGACAGCTGCTGTACAAGGTCTTTTTCTTTGTTGTCTCGGTTGGTATTGTACATCATCTTAGCATTTGCGTCATACAAAGTGGGGAGCACGGCCATGGCTTTTGGTCAGGTTCAAGGGGGGGTGCGGGGGGTGTGGCCCTCCCCTCCCCCAGAGACTGACACATTTAAAGGAAGCAGAGCAACAAGGACACAGCACAGTTGTGGGAAAGAGGTTCCCCTACGTGAGCAGGATGGTCCATCTCACCTGGGTCTCAGTGGGACTTCCCACCCCCATCCCGGGGCCAGCAGGAGCACCTCGGGTCTCTCCCTGGTGAGAAGGGCAGGACAACAGGAATGGGGACTAGAGCAGGGGACATTTGCTGGGAGACATCCCCCATGGGAGCCAGTCTGATCCCCAGGCCTCCCAATGAAGTCAAGGGCTAGCCAAACCATAGGAAGATGGAGGCAGAGTTGTGGGTAGGCAACCCTGCTAGCTTCGTAGTGGGTACTCTTGGGGCTGGAAACCCCATGCCATACTTACTCTAGACACAAGCCTTTAGAATGGCTGGTTTGTTCACCAGCTGTGCCGTGTGTGAGGGGTCTCTGAGCTTGTCTCTTTCCTACTCTCATTTACCTGGGATGGCCACAGGAAGCACCATGAAGTTTCGCTGCTAAGGACTCATTTTCTGGTGCTTTGGAGCTGAAATGGCAGACATGTACTCTGGATATCCCGTGTCATCTCCATAGAGGCCCAGAGAAGCCCCTTTTCTTCTTGTTGGTGGTAATTTCCAGATGCAGGAGCCTGATGGCCTTTCTAAAGAGTGCACATGCCTGCTGGTGATGTGCCTCATTCTGTCTCCAGCCATCATCCATGCTGTGTGTATGTGTGCATGTATGTATGTATGTGTGTATGTATGTGTGTGTATGTATGTGTGTATGTGTATGCATGTGTATGTGTGTGTGTGTCCTCTTTTTTCAGCATTCCATTTGCACACTTCATTTCTGCATAATCTATTCATCTGCCCATTCTGTGGACCACACACACCTCCTGCTCTAGTCACATCGAGTGACTGAACATCCTCTCCAACGCTCAAGCACCCAAGTTCTGTCCTCCCATGAACGTGTGGTACATAGCATCCTTCCAGGGTCACCCATTGTGTTCAGAAATATCAATCATTATATCTCCCTGGGTTTCGTGTGGGTGGAACCAAGGTATGTACCAAGTAGAAATTCTCTTGCCTCCACCTTCAGAAGACCTCAGAATCTGTTGCTGGGGGTTAGAAAGGAGTTGTAAATCTAGACTAAGCCAGCCCAGCCTGAAGGGCACTGAGTGGGGCTGAAAAGCTCTGAGCCTGCTGTGGGCACAGAGGAGCCATGGAAACCGCCAAGGACTTCAGTTGAAGGGTCTGGAGTCTCTTGGGCCCATGTGGGTTCTTGCATGGCTGTGTTTCCTTACCTATTTGCAGCCCCCCGTGTCTTGGTCTCCACTACCCATCTGGTGCTCTGTACTGTGCCGTTACCTGTGAGGTCTAAGAGTCCTTGTTAAAGGTTAGGTCTTTCTTAACACTAGTGTCCTTCCCTACCTTCAAGTGAGGTGGGGGTTGTCACACTCAGGGTCTAGGGAGGCCTGGGGCCCCTGGACTGGTCCCTGCCTGTCTCTGGCCCAGGACCCCAAGGCTCTTGAGAATGACCATCCTGCTCGGGATAAAAAACAGAAACAAGCAGACAATAGGGGTGCAAGATGGCTCCCCACCACAGACACAGACACAAACACTGGCCCCCTGTGGGATGACACAGGGGCCCAAGAGGGTAGGGTGGGGGGAGGGTAAGTCCCGGGAGCTGGAGCTGCCGAGGCCCTGCTCCTTAGAGAGGGAGAGACCAGGGGACTTTTCTGGTTCCCTAAACGTATGGATTGTTTAGTCTCATCTTTAAAGTATTGCGGTCTAACTGATATGGCTTTAACTATTGGAAACGGACAGGGAAGACATCTGTCTTCTCCGAAATAAAAGCGTAAGTCCACTAAAATGGAAAACCTGCAGAACGCAAACTGGGGCCAGCGGGACAGGGGCTTCAGGGGTGGGCAAGTCGCCCCCTCCTGGGTCCCTGCTTTTGGGATAGGCCCTGGTAGGGGCCCAGCATGGCTTCCTGGGGTACTGCCTGGGTCTGTCCCAGTAGCATTCTGAGGACCTCAGGTAGGAAACCCCCAAGGGTGGGAGGACTCTAGGCCAAGGTAAGGTCTCCTGTCAGAGGTGGCCATCTGTGACTAACAGTCTCTGGGTTGGGAGGAAGCATCTTAGTCTGGTTCTTGCTCTCCAAGCAAGAACTTGTACTTTTGCACACAACTGCTTGCTTTAGACCCACACACACGAACGCCAGTCTCAGCCCACATGACAGCTCTCTCAAACACACATGTCTGCAGCTAACATGTAACCTGTCGCTCTTGACACACATGCCGTTTTGAAAGCACATGCATATACAAGCTAACACATGCAATCTTTAAACACGTGAGATGGCTAGCACATACTGAGAACATAACCGAAACTCAGGTACACTACATCCTACAAACACATGTACACGAGGTACGTCAGATAAACAGCCTGGAGCACAGAGCGAACACACACACATGCGATCTCAAGACACACGGCACCTACATGTCTGATGGGTCTGCCATACATTATCTAGTGTGTGAGGACTCACACGCTCGTCCCTCATTGTGCCTCCCCCTCTGTCCCTCCATTTCTATACAAGTCACAGAGCAGGAAGCTTTGACAATGTGGTACGTGAGGACACGTACCAGTCCTATACATCCCAGAGGAGAGCTGACTTTTGGCCAGTGGGATGAACGGACAGTCTTTTGTCAGGTGGCGACTGGCTTCCCCCCAGCTGTTTGGGGCTTTGGCCAAGACAGGTCCTCCTGGGGGGCAATGGGGACTTGGAAGCACATGGACAGGACGTGGAGGGAAGAAGGGTGGACAGGAATGGGGGCAGTTTGGCTGTACCAGTGATGAGCCTCATGGCACAGACCATCACTGCCCGATGGCTCCAAGTATTTTCTGGGGGCCTGGGCAGCCCCTTGGCTTGGCAAACTGGGGCCTAGCCTGGCAGTGGGGGTCCCAGGACCTAAGTCAGATGAGAGAGAATAAGGGGTTGCCCAGCCCTGGGCTCCTCCACAGATGTGCTAAAGTCCAAAGAGGATCCATTTGGAAGGAGCAGCTTGGCAGAGGCCATGCTTCTTTAGGTTGGGTTGGGGAGAGATGTTCTTCTGGCCAGTGACACCAGGAAGAGGAAAGAGGGCATCCCAAGCCTCCTGCCCAGGTTCTAACCTGGCCAGACCCAGCTAGAGCCTTTCAGAGCTAGGCTCTCCAGGACAGGCTTACTCTGAATAGCTTTCCTGGAGCCAGACCACTCGGGGCCTCTGCCCTGACCTGGACTCCCACTGGGGGTTCAGAGGCCAAAGGTCAGCATGCTGGGCAGGGCTGGAATGTGTCATTACTTTGGCTGGCTGGGGACAGTGGTCCTCCTGGCAGTGGGGAGCATGAAGGAATGTATGGGGGGGGGTTTACCACACTAACATAGACCATGGGCTTTTGGAGGGACACCCAGTGCCTTTGGCTCTGGGTTCAATGCCCCCTGCTGGAGTAAAGCTGTCTTCTTCTTTTTTTTCCAAGCTACTTGGGAGTGAAACAGGACTAGAAATCCTAGGATGAAGGGTTTGTAAAGGATTGCGGAGGGGAGGAGTCCCTGACTAGGGATGGGGGCAGAGGCCAACTGAGGTTTTCCTCTTTGGAACTGAGACTTAACTGAATAAAAAGAAAAGAAAGACTAAGAACACCAAAAAAAAAAAAAAAAGTCAGAACATGGAAGGGGGAGGAGGAGGGGTTACTTCTTGAACATGTCCTGCAGCGGCCCCGGCAGATATTTGAGCACTGTGTCCAGGATGCTTTCCTCTTCCTCCTCCTCCTCGTCCCCACAGCCTGCAGGGATGGCCTTCTTGGGTCGGGTCAGGCTTCCCTCACAGGGCTGTTCCAGGGCTGCCTTCTCCTCTGCCTCTTTCTCTTCTTTCTTCTTCAGCCCATACTGGGGAGGAGAGGGACAGAGAGAGGCATGAAGTCAAGTCAGGGAGAGGAGAAGGTTGGCTAATGTGTGTCTCATCAATACTTTTAAGCTCCCGGGGAAAGCTGCCTTCCCTGGAGAACTGAGCCCGGTCCTTAGCAGGTGACTGATATAAAAGACCACAACATGGTTTCTTTTAAAGTTTGCACTTACCAATAATACCCCTTTATCCGTTTGAAATCCTCAAAGTTCTGAATGTTGAATGTCTTCCTACATTCTGAGGCACATTTCTGTGACAAGACTGGCTGGCTGGCTAACGGAAGGCTCCTGTGCTTTGCACTGTGATGCTACTAGACACTAAATAAACGACACAGGATGGTCCGCCATAGCTAGTGCTGCGTTTTCTATGTGCTTAGTTACGTATAATCTTTGAGGGCATGTTCCCAAGACACTCGTTTTCCTGATGAGAGTGAGGCTTGGGGGGAACTGGGTCTAAGATGAAATCTGGGTTTCAGGGGAGTCAGAGGTGGGGGTTGCAAGGGCTGCTGACCTTGTCTCGGATCTGCTGCCGGACCTTCTCCCGTTCCGCTTCCATGCGGGCATGTTTGGCCTTGCGCTCTTCCTCCTGCTGTCTCAGGGCCTCCTGCCGCTCCTCCTCCTTCTTCTGTGCGTCTGGGTCCTTCTCCTCCTCTCCCCCCAGCATCTTCCCCATGTCCTTGGTGGCCCCTACAGCAGTGTGGAGGAAAGGGCGTGGTCAGGGACAGGGAAGGCAGGTGGGTCGAGGGTGCATGGGAGGGAACTCACCTCCGAGGGCTTGCTTCATGACGAAGTCCATCCTGCAGGCTTTGGTTAGTGCTCCCTAACGCGTGTCTGATTTTGCATTCAGCACTCCTGGCTGCTCTGCCTTTGGGAAAGGAGCCCACCTGCAAAAGGGGAGGGAGGATCAGACGGAAAGCTCTCTTCCCAGGTAGGGTGTTAGAGACTGACCCAGGGCAGCCTTATTCTTGTTCTGACAAGGGATCACCAATTGAAAGGCTCAATGCCTTTGAAGAAAGAGGAGAAGTATCTACTGAGAGTGTATTAAGGGCCAGGCGTGGATCTACAATTAAACAGTTTCTCGTTTCTATTCTGCATTATGTTTTAAAGGGGATTTATTTATTTATTTTTATTTTATGTATATGAGTGTTTTACTTGCATGTAGATGTGCAACCAGGTGTGTGCAGTGCCTGTGGAGGCCAGGTGGGGGCGTCAGATATCCTGGAACTGGAGTTACAGACGGTTGTGAGCTGCCATGTGGGCCCTGGAACTAGAACCTGGGTCCTCTGCAAAAGCAGTATACACTTTTAACCTTGAGCGTCTCTCCGGCCTTGGTTCCTGTTTTATAACCTTCAGTTTGAACACTTTTTTTTTTTCTAATTTGATTAAATTGAGGAGGGTAGACATGAGTCTGGATTTTGGAGAGTTGTGTTTTAATGTCCCCTCATTTGCTATCTGTCACGTGACCTTCAGCAAGTGACACCCCTTCCTTATGCTCTCAGTTTCTTCTTCCCTGAAACAGAAGTGGCAGGGCCAGGGCTACTGTGGAGAGCAGAAAGGAGCCAGGCTGGGCCATTGGCTCAACTCACCAAGCAAATGAGCCTGTGCTTGTGGTCCCAAAAAATCAGGGGTGCATGAAAAAGAAAAAGGCATAGCTAGCATGAATGGGAACCTGTCCAGACTTTGGAAATTAGACAAATAGAAAATAACTTATTTTTCACTGTAGCTTGTGTGTAAGTTTTGTGTTTGCTAGCTTAGTGTTGATTTTTTTATTTTGAATTACACATGAGGGCATTGGGGATATTGTCACCTCAGTGCTTACGGCCTTTACAGAGGGAGGTCCTTGGAGGTGTTCTGCTAATCTTAGTTTGCTAGCCTCCTCCCTAAATTATTGGTTTTCCGGTTTTTTTTAAAGATTTATTTATTTTATGTATATATGAGTACACTGTCATTGTCTTCAGACACACCAGAAGAGGGCATCAGATCCTACTACAGATGGTTGTGAGCCACCATGTGGTTGCTGGGAATTGAACTCAGGACCTCTGGAAGAGCAGTCAGTGCTCTTAACCACTGAGCCATCTCTCCAGCCCCTTGTTTTCCATTTTTATTATATGTTTTTATTGTTTTTTTTCTCCTCAGAAGATTTTCTCCAAATAAAGTCATAATTGGGATGCAGTGTGAAGAGGAGCAGGTGGGGGCTGGCCATGGTGGTGGAGGGCCTGCAGACCAGAGCACTGGGACCCTGCTGGAGGCCCCACACCCCTGAAAATAGGCCCCGGCAACTCTAATTGAGAGTCTCCTATTTTAACTGTTGAGTTGTACTGATTCCTGAAGAATGTCTTTAAATGTTTATTTTAACTTACCTGTATTTTTTTTTTTTTGTCAGTGTATCACAGGTGTGTGGTTCAGAAGAACGTGTCAAAGCACTGGAGTTACACATTGTTGGGAGCCATCATGTTGTTGATGGGAATTAAACCTGGGTCCTCAAGAGCAGTTCTTAACCCCTGAGCTATCTCTCCTGTCCCTGAGTTATGCTGACTCTTTTTGTTTGTTTGTTTTTTGTTTTTTTGTTTTGTTTTGTTTTTTTCCAGATAGAGTTTCTCTGTGTAGCCCTGGCTGTCCTGGAACTCACTCTGTAGACCAGGCTAGCCTCGAACTCAGAAATCCGCCTGTCTCTGCCTCCCAAGTGCTGGGATTAAAGGCGTGTGCCACCACTGCCTGGCTATACTGATTCTTTAGCAGACAAGGCTGCTGCCCATGTGGCTGCATCCTTAACTGTCCGGAATTTGATGTGGGGTGGAGGTTAACTGGGTCTAGGCCTTCCCCAGCTCTAGGGCCTTTTATCACATACAGACTTTAAGTCTCTATTACTTTCTAGGAAGAAAAAAGGACTCTGGAAAAATGATGACAGAGAATTCTGCCAGCCTGGTTATTGCAGCCAAGTCGAGTTCAAGGTCACAGGCTATCCGTTGATGGATTCTCTTTATTTCTTTCAAAACGAGAAATCATTAGGAGACCGAGTTTCTCATAATGAGGGATCCAAGAATGTATCCACAGGGTTAGACCATCTCCTGGGACCTTTCTGGTATAGAAAAATCATAATGTACCAGATGAAAAAGCTCCCAAGGGTTTTGGCACCAGACTGGTTAAAGATTCCAGACTGGGTCTGAGTCTCTGGGAACAATTCAGCTTGTTCCAAATGGGGCAGTGCTAAAGCGATATTTGTACTGATATTTAAAGGAAAAAAAATAGCAGGTCAAGTGTCTGGAGGCGTAAAGGAAACTTACACAAAAGGCAGCTAACGCCGAGTACATATTTACGGGACCACATTAAGCCCAAAAGGAACACAGGCTTTTCGGTAAAGGCAAGAGAACCCACCCGACCCAGAAATCTGAGTCTGAAGGCTGCTCAGCTCTGTGGAGCTGGTTCCCACTGATTTTAGACCTCGGGAGAAGACTTAATTTCTAAGAACAGGAAATGAACAGTGAGCAAACGGAGTGATTTCAGGAACTCTTGAGTTTCTGCGTGGTGTTTACACAGAGCTCGGAGAATTACCAGGTGGTGGTGGAAGGTGCAGCCTGTTGTCTAATTTGAGAGGATTCCAGTTGGAAAGCAGGACACCTGGGCTGGAGCTCAGCCCTGTCCCTGACTTGCTGCACGACTCCAGCATGCCTCTCCTGGGACTAGATGCTCTCCCACACCCCTCTCCAGTGCCCCTGCAGGAGGCTAACCTAGGCTCTGTACCCTCAACCCCTCCCTTCTTTATCTTAAAACTCAGTTCTCTCCTCTTCTCGCCCCCCCCCCCCCCACACACTTCCCCCTTCTTTCCCAAGTAATTCTGAGGCATAACTTAGCTTGGCTCCTTGGATCTACTCCCAAGTCCTGTTGTCTAACCTTAGTGTGGCCCTCTTAGGTGTGAGGCAGCCTCTTTGCCCATCTGCTTGTGAGAGTCCTAAGTGACTTCTGAGGCCCAAATTCTGCTTTTCACTCTTGCTTCCTCTACTCCTTCTTCTAGTTTTAACTTTTTTTAAAATAATTTTTTTATTTATCATTCTCTCATATATTACATCTTAACTCCAGTTTCTCCTCCCTCCTCTCCTCCTGGCCCTTCCCCCCACCTCCCCTCTCCCCCACATCCACTCCTCCTCCATTTTCCCTCTGAAAAAGGGCAGGCTTCCCAAGGGATATCAACCAAACGCAGCATATCATGTCGTAATAACAGTAGGCACATCCCATATTAAGGCTGCATGAGGCAATCCAGCATGAGGAAAAGGGTCCCCCAAGCAAGCCAAGAGTCAGAGACAGTCCCTGCTTCCACTGTTAAAAGTTCCACAAGAACACAACTCAGCCATAACGTATCTGCAGAGAACCCTGGTCAGACACATAATTGTCCGTTCAGTCTCTGTGGGCCCCTATGAGCTCTGCTAGTTGATTCTGTGGGCCATTTTCTTGTGGCGTCCTTCACCTCTCTGGCTCCTACAGTCCTTCCTCCCCCTCTTCTGCAGGGTTCCCTGAGCTCTACCTAATGCTTGGCTGTGGAATCCCCCCCCCCCCTCTTAACAGGAGACTTCTCTCCAGGTCAGGCTGGCTGTTGAAGGGGCCCTTTCTTCCAATGAGACAGCTCTTTGAAACTGGATCTTCTCTATAAAAGAAGGGCTACATGGCCAGTTTGAAGGTTAGAAATCATCTGTGGGCCGTGCTTGTCACGTGACAGGTGCTCAGCAAATGGAAGCTATTATTAACGTGATTAATGAAGGCTGTTGAGCACACCTGCAACCTCCCCTCTCCTAGCTCCAGGGAACTCCCTCCTCCTAGGTGAAGCTGATGTAGATTTCTCTGTACCTCTTCCTCTATGATCCATCCCTGCACTTCTCCACATCTTTACTGTCCTTCCTCAGTCTCCTGAGTCTCCTCCCTTCCCGAAGCCTTTCCTTGAACTATGGCCTTCTTTGACTCTGCCCTGGAGTGTACCGGAGAGTCTTCCCCTCATCTCCTTACTGCTCCCGAAACCTGCTGTCTTAGCACACAGCCCAGGAGCAACCTTCACCAGCACAGCCAGGAGACCCATGCCTGACCAGGAGTGCCCACAGCCCTGTCTCCTCTTTCCGGAGCATTTGATGCTAATCATTACCTATCCCCCAATTTCAGCCGTCTCAGATCTGAATTCCATGACATAGCACCCTTTGGTTCCTGGGTCTCCTCAAACAGGTCTTTTTTCCTCTTCTCTGTTGGTTCCTACTCTAGGCAAACTCTTCCTTCTCTTTCCTCTGTTCCTCCCATGGAAACCTCCCATCTGTGCCTACTGATTTAGTTAGCCACGCATATGCACGCTGGCTTTCTCTCCAAAGCCTGCACGTTTTTAACCCTCTGCTGTTGCCGTTTCCAATTCAGTGTCTGGAAGAGCATTCCCGGCCTTACAGGGCTCCCATCTTGTCCTCTGGCACGTTTTGCTACAATTGCCTCGACCGAAACCTCTAGTCACTACACACACACACACACACACACACACACACACACACACTCAGGCACTCATGCACCCTGCACTCCTGAGTACCTCCTGTCTACCAGGCACCGTGGAAGAGAACAAGAGCATTCTCCAACACTGGTCCTCCCAGCCATTAGTTAACTGGGGAGAGAGTTAACTGCACAGCAGAGCACACATAGGTGGGTATGATTGGGATAGAGGTGCAGGAAAGAATTCTAGACACTGCTTACCCCCACCTCCTCCTACTGCTTTACCACCTGGGTTCACGACTCTGTCTCTTCTCTAGCTCTTAACCTGTCTTCCACATGACCTCAGATTAATCTCCCTCAAAGGCAGATTTGCTCATGCAAACTTACGACCCTGCAACTGGCTTCTCATGGCCTTGTGACACCTACCACAGTCTGGTAACCTTCAAACCCTGCAGTCTGGAACCGGACATCTTTCTTTACCTCTCATTTCTCATCTCTTGTCCACTGCTCTGTATTAGCCAGCAACCCCTCCCCCCACCCCAAATGTCATTTCCACCTCCATCTGAGGCAGGGTGATTTGGGCATACTATTCCCACAGGACCGTTTAACCTCAACCCTGCTGGCTCAGATCTTGGCACTACTACTTATTAAATGATCTTGAGTACTTGACTTAATGTTTTCTCATGTGTAAAATGGAGACAGTCAACGCCGCGTGCAAGGCCTGCTGTGAGCACCGAGATTATGCAAATCAAAGTGTCTAAGCCAGTAAGTGTCCTCGTTGTTGTCATAGGCATCCACAACAGTGGCTGCAATAACTTTCTAAGACCCTTTGCCAACAGTGCTTCTCTCCGTGCAGATCCTGTTCTCCTTGACATGATAGGACAGGTTCTTGCTTTTGTGAGATCTAAGGCACTTTCTATTATGCTCTAGCTGTCTGGGTATCTTTCCTTTGTTATCAGGAGCTTCTCTGTTGCCTGTCTTACCCATTTCACCTATCTGGAGGATTCTCAGAGGATACCCACCTCAGAGTGTTTGCTCAGTGGAATTTAATGTTGTGTGCACGGGCTCAAAGCATGAGCCTGCATGTCTGATTCTAAACCTCTTAGACACTGGTGTGTGTTTGTGTGTGTGTGTGTGTGTACGCGTGTGCTTGCTTGTTTGCTTGTGCGCCTGTAGCTACCAGTGGGGCTGCCAGAGAGGCCTGCGGATTGTGTGCAGTTGAGGATCTGGGCCTCACCGCCAGGAGGCGCTCCTCAGCGGTGCTGCGGAAAGCTGCCGTCTGTCTCCGCGCGGGAAGGGAGCTGGTGGGGGTGGAGGCTGCTACTGCGATGGGGGTAGGGTGTTGGACTGGGGGAAAGGGGGAGGGGGTGTAGGTAGGCTGATGCAAATGTTTTCATGCTGCGAGTCACGGGTGGGGGGGACCCAGGCAGGCCCTCATCTTCCCCCCAGACCCCCCACCCCCATACCCCTGCTGTCAGTCCCAGCCAAAGGCAGCCAAGGCATCTGCTCCAGTTCCGTCGAGTCTCAGGAACCGGGCCCCTCTTTCTGACAAGCACACATGAGCACCTGCAGTGTTTGTTTTTGCGGCTGTTTTTCTATGATTCAAGTACGGGCTACAGTCACAACTCAATTCAACACTTCGTTGTGGGGTTTTTTTGTTTCTTTTTTTTTTTGTTTGTTTGTTTGGTTGTTTTTTTTTGCAAGGGACTCCACGCTAATGGCGGTGGCCAAGACAGAGGACGTCTCCCCTACTTCCCCATCCCACGCCCCTAGAAGCAAGCCGTCTTGGAGGTAGCGGGTCGGGTTGTGGTGGTGGGGAGAGGTTGGGCCAGAGTAAAAGGATCACTCGGCTGGGTCACGAAAGTGCGGAGGCTTCCCCCCCACAGAAGAGAGGGCAGGCTTCCTGGCACCGCTCCCCGGGCCCTCACAGAGACCAGCACTCGCAACAGCTCTGCCCTGGGGCTCTCAGTTGGTCAGTGCGTGTCTCCCTCCCCCCAACACACGCCTCTCAATTCTGAACCCTAGCCTGCTCTTAAACTTTGCCAGGGAGGGGACGGTCTGAGACTGAGAAGCAGCCGGTGACCCCTGCACAGGCTCGTGCTACTCCAACAGCGCTCCTGGGAGAAGAGGACAAATAGCCCCCCTGCCCCCCACCGACGTGGGTTCTCCTCTCTCCACCTGGCCTCTGCCACCCTCGGATTCCCTTGGGAACCGAACTCTACCCCTCGGGGTGACTCTCTGCTCCTGTAGCAGAGAGCCCGGGAGGGCTTCGGGGTAGCCACACCCCAAGTAGCCGAGGACCACGTCCCCCACCCTAGTCTTGCGGGCTCGAAGTTGTTCTCCAGGTTCACACTTGAGTCTCCGCACTCGGGGCGGTCCGAGCTCCCCAAGCCCCACTGTCCGGATGCGCATCTGCCCACATCTGCCTGCCCCGAGGCTGCAGCACCAGCCGTCCCCCGGCCTCCGCGGGGAGCTGTCCCTTCAGCACCACACGGAGCGGGCAGGGGCCGCAGTCCTCAGTGCAGCGCCCCACGGTCTTGGGGAGCCCCTCAACGCCGCACTGCCCAGCTTCCCCGCTGATCCGGAGCCAGAGCGTTCCCCTACTGCCCCCAGCCCGGCTCCGCCTCCCCGGCCCATGGCCAGCACCGACCTGGTGGTCCCAGCAACCGTCTAAGCCACTGCAGGGCTCCGGCTGACTCCAGCAGGCGGTGCGGTGTGCTCAGCCAGCTCGCGCCGCTGCCTGGTGTAACTCCGCCAGGCGAGCTGGGGCCGAGGCTGCTGCCGCGGGCGGGCGGATGCTGAAAGCGCCCTCCAATCACGCCCCTCAGCCAGGCCCTGACGCCGTACAGCTTCTCTTCC